ATTTGGTTCTGAAAGATCTAAGCGGAATGGAACGTGTGCAAATTGCAACCGATATAACACATCACCAGCTTGGTGTCAAACATGTGATTCTCAGAAAACAATACAATAATGGACAAGTGGAAATAAAGATGTCGATAATTGTATTAAAGAATTTCAACTTAAAGCCACGGAATATGAAGATGTGATCGAGTGGATTCCTTTTAATAGATTAGATAGTGTTCAAATGATTAGTGATAGATATTTAGCAACGTGGTTGGATGGAATACGATACGTAAAAGATAAATATGGCGAATGTACAAAGTCACGCATACCATCATATAAAATAGAGCTTAAAATATTAACTAGATCATCAAATTTAATAGATATGTTAAAAGAAGTAAGTTAAATTATTATACAATACTATCTGTATATTGTTTATTTTAATTCATATATAGATTTATAAATATTAAATAAGTTTATAGATTACGTACTGTTGAAGAATAGTATATGGACTAACTCATGACACAGTAAAAAATGAGTATATGTTGGTATTTGATGAGTTTGGTTCTAAAAGACACTGTGATAATGGAAAATGTGCAAATTGTAACCGAAATAACACATCACAAGCCTGGTGTCAAACATGTGATCCTCAGAAGACAACACAAGGATGGACGAGTGGAAATAAAAGTGTTGATGATTGCATCAAACAATTTCAACTTAAAGCCACGAAATATGCAGATGTAATTGAATGGATTCCTTTTACTAGATTAGATAATATTCAAAAAATTGATGATGAATTTTTAGCAACCTGGTTAGATGGTGAACGATATATAGGAAACAAATATGGTTATATACGGTCACGTACATCACCATGTAAAGTGATACTTAAAACATTACATGGCACACAGAATTCATTGGATTTTTTAGATAGAGTAAGTTAAAATTAATTTGTTATTTACATATATTCTTTAATTAATACATAAAATATAATTATATTAGTTTAAAGATTTCACGCAATCAAAGGATAGTGAACGTAAAGTATATGGATTAACTCAAGGCACTGCATCAAACGATTATTTGTTAGTTTTTGATTTTAAAAGATATAAGATTAAGGGAAAATGTACAAATTGCAATCGATATAACACATCAAATGGTTGGTGTCAGACATGTGATCCTCAAAAAACAACACAAGGATGGATGAGTGGAAATAAGGAGGTCGATGATTGTATTAAAAAATTTCAGCCTAAAGCCACAAACTATGAAGACGTAATCGAATGGATTCCTTTTAATAGATTAGATAATATACAAATGATTGATGATAAATTTTTAGCAACTTGGTTAGATGGAATACGATCTCTAAATTATGAGGATTTTAAATATACACAGTCACGTATACCATCATATACAGTGGAGCTTAAAACATTGACTAGTTCACAAAATTTATTAAATATTTTAAAAGAAGTAAGACTATTTTGTTATGCATAGATTATTTAATTGGCAAAGTTATACTGTATAACTAACTCTATTATATGTATATTGTATATAATAAGTTTGAAAATCATTTGCAATTAGAAAGTGAAAGTATTTTTGGATTAACTCAAAATACTACAACCAATGAATATATGTTAGTATTTAATGAATTTGGTTCCAAAAAAAAAAAGATCAGAATGGAATATGCTCAAATTGCAACCGATATAACACATCGAAAGCTTGGTGCCAAACATGTGACCCTCAAAAAACAGCACAAGGATGGACGAGTGGAAATAAGGACATCGACGATTGTATTAAAGAATTTCAACTTAAAGCTACAAATTATAAACAAGTAATCGAATGGATTCCTTTTAATAAATTAGATAATATTCAAGAAGTTGGTGATGAATTTTCAGCGGTCTGGTTAGATGGTGCGCGATTAATTAAAGATAAAAATAGCAAAAAGCCAACACAGTCACGTACTCCATCATATAAAGTAAAACTTAAAATATTACATGAATCTAAAAATTTATTAGACCTTTTAAGCAAAGTAAGATAAGATTTGTTTTATGATTCATTGCGAACAATTTTTGCCTAATAATATGTACTATTTATTTATAAGGTTAAAGATCTCATACAATCAAAGAATGGTAAACTTAAAGTATACGGACTAACTCAAGATACTTCAACAAACGAGTATATGCTAGTTTCTGATTTTAAAAGAAATTTCCTATCGTTATATGGAATATGTGCAAATTGCAACCGAGCTAACACAGGGCCAGCTTGGTGTTTAACATGTGAACCTCAGAAAACAACACAAGGATGGACAAGTGAAAATGATGATGTCGATAATTGCATTAAAGAATTTCAACTTAAAACCACAAAATATAAAAATGTGATCGAGTGGATTCCTTTTAATAGATTAGATAATATACAAAAGATTGGTGAAGGGGGATTTGGCTCAGTGTTTTCAGCAACGTGGTTAGATGGTAAAAGGACATTCTTATATGATAGAAATAATAAATACACACAATCACGTACACCATCATGTATAGTTGCACTTAAGACATTGCCAGGTTCACAAATGGATTTTTTAAGAGAAGTAAGTTAAAATGATTTATTATAAGCTAATATAGATAAATTATTAAGCAATATAAATTTTATTTAATTAACTAGTTCAAAAGTTATACAGAATTTAGATTAATGGGTAGTAATCTTGAGGTTTATGGACTAACTCAAAATACGACTACTAATGAATATTTGATGGTACTTCAATATGCAAATAAAGGAAGTCTTCATAAGTTATTATTATCAAATTTTAGAGAACTTAATTGGAAAAATAAGTTAGGGCAACTTGTTGTTATATCGGAAAATTTAAAGAAAGTTCACGAAGCAGGATATGTTCATGGAGATTTTCATAGCGGTAATATATTGCAAAATCAATATATTAATGGAGATCTAATCTCTTATATCTGGGACTATCTAGAAAGAAAGATGAATCTGATTTAGAAGATAGTATTTACGGGGTTTTACCATATGTTGCTCCTGAAGTGTTAAATAAACGACCATATACAATATCAGCAGACATTTATAGTTTTGGTATTATTATGGCAGAATTATCTACAGGAAGACCACCTCATTATGATATTGAGTATGATGAAGCGTTGGCCATTCAAATTACGTCCTGAACTTGCTAAAGGCACCCCTGAATGCTATACTAAATTAGCTAATCAATGTATGGATGCTAATCCTTCAAAAGACCATATATATCTGTTATCTATAATAAATTGCTTAGATGGTATAAAATAGTAGATGATGGTATAGCAAAAAATAAAAATGAATTGGAAATATTAAAAGCATTCCAATCTGCAGATGAAATTATTCCAACATTATCAACCGAATTGCCAATTTGTCTTAAAGATAAACTTACAAGTAAACTGCTTAACTTCAAAAATCTTTCTGAACCAATTAACTCTTCATTTATTTCGCCTGTAAAATCGTTAAATATTTGTGGCAAGTACCTACATGTATATACCGTATACTTCCGAAATTAAGCACCCCTCGAAGCAATTTTTATAGCCAAATTCTCGTGATCTAATAATCGGATCTGCATAATTTTGGTATCATTTGAATCGTTTTGGCGAATATTACCTAGATCACGAAAATTTTGGCTATAAAAATTGCTCCGAGGGGTGCTTAATTTCGGAAGTATACGGTAATATGTGTTCAAATTTAATCGGTAAAATTTTTTACATTTCTTAATTTTTTTTAGATTCTACTGCGATCGGTTTTTCAATTTCTGATAACTATTATAACGATCTTTCATGTATGTATCTAATAATTTTAATTTACTACTGTAATGTATAAAAATGCTTATTATTTTTTTATTTCTGTAGCTATTGATAAAATTTCATGACCATATATATATTTCATTCAAATTGTTTATCTGATAAATATATTGAAAAATCAAGCGTATCTAACAATTTTAAACTATTAAAATTTATTTCATTTTATAAATTAGAGCTAGAGTCAATAAAATTACATGTAAAAAACTTTTGAATCCATATATAAATTGTGAATTTGCCTAAAAAGGTGGTCGGGCAAATCATGCTTGTTCTCAATGAAGTAAAACAAGAAAAAAAAATCGAAAAACGTGAAAAATAGAATAACCAGAGTTGGGAAAAAGTCATTAGACAAATATATGTCTATTGATAGTTTTTTATATGTCAATGGTGTCTAATGGCTGTTGTATATTCACAACCCTGGAATAACAGCAGTCCAAACCCACCTTGGTGCATTAATAAGAAATGTCGGGAAGGCGATTTTGCCCATATAAACGCACCTAACCCTGCCCTAAAGTGACCCTAACCCTAAAATACCCTAAAATTAAAATTAATCGAGCAAATTATTAAGTAATATAAATTGCCCCCGCTTTAGACATCCCCCTAAAAAGGAATAATTTATTTCTCACTTTAAAAAAAAGGTTCGAAAAAATTCATACTAATTGTCACGGAGTTACCCAAACTACCGTGTACTTCTTTAACATTGCTATCGGTCTTTACTCGCTTGGCTAATATAAACGATGACTGGAGTATTGTGCCAGATACTACCACCGATAATGTATTCACACAAATAAGACAGTTTATTCACTAAGAATGTTTCAAAGAACTCAAAGTTAGGCACTTCCCCTATTTGGATCGATGCCTTATATTATTGCTATCGCTAATGATTACTGCATTATTCATGCAATCACTATTTTAGACTTTTAATTAAATCGTGATCACCCATTAACGTTCAGATCACTAGTCACATTGTATCTCGCAGCACCGCATATACGGTAGCTATCCCACAAAAAAATTTCCCCCCGTGATTTTTAACCAATTGGGATGTTAAGGTTAGGGGTTAGGGTTATTTAGATTAGGTTTAAGTAACGTTAGGGGGTAGATTCATTGATTAATGTTTTTGTGGTAGATCTACAGGCGTTCAGCACCGCGACACTAATTTTCGTATATAATATCTAATATCTATTGGTATATTTGACCTCGTAATTTATGGTTTATAGAATGCTCTTCGCTAAAAAAATAATTTGTAATAATCATTTAGGTCAGAAAACCTAGACTTGACATACTTTTTTTTTATACTGTTATAGACTATTTAATGGGCTGAGACTAAAACCTGCGTTTCACAAAATGAATTTCTGCAAAAATTTATAACGATTCAATTAATTTAGGGTGTTCTCAAGCAGCTCCCTCGATGTAATTAGTTAGTGATGCGATTAATTGAATGGTAATGTGGCTAATCAAAGAACGTCTTGTTAAAAAACATAATGCGAAATGGGATTTTAAATTTTAGCCAATCAGGGCAATTCTATAAAAAAAAAAAGTGGTTTGCAACTCAAGAATTTATTCATCGAAATGGTAACTCACTTGGTTAGTTTATTCTAATTAAAAATTTTCCTTGAGGGAGGTGCTTGAGATCCCTAAATTAAAGATTTAAGAAAGTCAAGATAGTATTCATATAACGAATCCTGCTAGTGATATTTCTTCAGGATCTGTTTCGTTCTTTTAAGATTCAATTAAGTTGGCATTGTGTCTTTGCTAAGAGTTTCCGCTAATGTTTTCATTCAGGCTCAAATTTATTGTTTCAAGTTAAGGCAGCTTTAATATATAAAGTGCCTCTGCTATTGTTTTTTTTTTCTTAAGAACCTAATATATTCTTTTTACGATTTAAAAAGTCCTAACCATAATGCTTATCCTCTATCATGCCAAGTATGTACTATAATTTATTATATCGATAAAAAGTTTTAAATATTGAAAATGACAACTATAATATACTGTCTATCTACATAAAAAAGTCACTAACCAGATAGCAACAGTATCGACTGTAGTATGTAATTTATTATGTCAATAAAAACTTTTAAATATTAGAAAATTACAAATGAGCTAATTATTCCAGTTACGTGGGGTGATTGAAAAGTTTTGCACTTAGATCAATATCTCAATCATTTTAAAAGATATTATTTTAAAATTAATATGTATAAATATAATGATTATTATTGTTCTATAAAAAAATTTTTAGCTATTTTTATCAGGCAGTTTTTAAAATATTAAATTTTTAATTAAATGTATAAAAACTTTATAAATTTTTTACATATAAAAACTAGTTTAAAAATGTTAAAAAAATAAAAATTTTAAATCAATTTCTTTGAAAATTTAAATAATAATAATTTCAGTTATGTAGTTTTTAAATATATAATTTATTTTAAGTTAAAATATTAAAATTTAATAAATTTTAGATTTAAAAGTTTTTTTTTATTTTGCAAAGCTATATGAATTTTAATATTTTAATATTTTATAAATTTTATAATAAATAATAGAAATTAACTAATGTTTACCACAGGTGATTATCACCTGTGATCTACAATATAAACAAAAACAATTAATTTTTAACAAAACAAAAATTAATTTTTTTAAGATTAGGGTAAGGGTAAAGGTTAGAGATTAGGGTTAGTGGTTAGGGTAGAGCTTTTTATATAGTAAAATTTAGCAAGGAATTTTTTTTATTAGAGCTTAAAAGGTGGGTTCATAGGCAAAATTTTAATATATAAGTAGTTTTTTAAAAAAATTCATTGTTTTATTACACAAAATTGATTTACATGTTACACCTGATCCTGAATTTTAATTGGTAAATTAACTACAGGTGATAATCACTTGTGGTGTAAATTAGAAATGTTCTAAATAATAATTTTTTTAATTATTATTTTCTACAACTATTATATTTTTAAATAAAATTATTAAAATTTATTTAAAATTAAAAAATTTAAAATTTTTATATTAGTATTTTTATCTGAATTTATTTAGATTTAATCTCTGGTGAAATTCACCGTAATAGTAATTATGTAATATAGTTTGTAATACATAGATATGCATTATACTACTAATATTAAGATAATCTCTAATATCGTTTTACAATTTCACTACCCAAACAAGTGAGAACTGACTTCTTTGAATTCTGTGGTGAAGGTAGAACATGCATTACTAAATATATTTCACAAGTTTAACATATTGAATTCTTTGGAACTTTATTTAAAAAGAAGAAGCACATTAGCAGGTGTGCTTTATAAGATTCTCACACAATCATTTTAACTAAAGGGACAACCAGTTTAGTGTAAGAACTTTAAATTTAAACACTTTGTTAGAATAGAGTATTCAGACTTATTCCATTTATAGTCTTCATCACTAAAAAGAGGAAACAAATTAGCAAGCACATTTTGAAGAATCATCTTAACTAACACAGAATATAGTTGTAAGAGCTTTAAATTTAAGCACTTCGTGGGAATAGAGTGTTCAGACTTATTCTATTGTATAGTTTTTTTTTTATTTTTAACCACTTAAAACAGAATAAGTCTGAATACTTTGCATCTTAAAAGCTTTAATTACTGTATTATCGAATAAATTTTTAATATTAGTACTTTTTTTTTTCTTTTATTCCTCTAGTTGATTTATAAGGGCAATATGAACGTAAACAATGCTATAAACATGATTAATGACATGTATGATTCCATAAGCGATGCTTCGAGTGATACTATAAGCGATTCTATAAACGATGCTATAAGCAATAATATGAGCAATACTATGAGCAATACTATGGGTGATACTATGTGTGATGCTATGAATAATATTCTGAATGATACTATAAATAATGCTATGAATGATGCTATGAACAATGCTATGAATGGTGTTATGAATGGTGCTATGAACAGTGCTACAAATGATGCTATGAACGATGCTACGAACAATGCTACGAACAATACTATTAATGATTCTGTGATTAGCAATAATAATTATGGTTGAGGAGCAAGACGATCTATCTGGTAATATTTGTTATATTTTTTTCTATAATAAGTCAGGATAGTTTCAAAGTATTAATCACAAGATAAGTAATAAAATTCAAACTTGATTTTTGTTACTTGTCTTGTAATTAGTATTTTTGAAACAACTTTGATTTTATCAAGTTGATAATAGTTTTACCTAATACTAATTTTTTAGTTTCTTTTTAGATTGTTTTAGTGATTCCGATATATCTATATCTACTTACTAGTATAACCTTTACATTGGAGCTATCTTTGATGACTGGAAATCTGTTGATACATTTATACACCAATACTGTTATGAACGAGGTTTTGGTTATCAAATTTTTTACAATGATAAAGATCCAGATAATCTCTCTATTACTTATCACAAATCCTTTCGTTGCTTAGCAAATGGGAAATATAAACCTCATAAAAATATATATCAGAATTCTCATCATCTGCATGGTAATATGAAGACCAATTGTGAATAGCATTGTAATTTACCTTTTCAAAGACAACAAAACAAGTAACATGTAAAACGTTAAAAGATTGCCATAATCATAAATTGAACCCCAATTAGATAGCTAATATTATCCCTAGATATCGTTAGCTTAATGATAAAATGGTTCAAGAATTAAAGTTTCTTATTAGTTGTAAAGTAGCTCCAATTACACAATTAAAGATACTTAAGAAAAAATATTCACAACATGTTTTTCACAAACAAGACATTTACAATGCAATTTATAAAAGCTGTGATAGTAGTAATGAATTGAATTCCGATTCTAGTTCATTTCTTAATACACTTTTTGAAAAAAAAAGTCAAGATTCAAATTGGAAAGTATTCGTACAACATACTGGTAATGAGCACCGTCTATCAGGTATTTTTTGGATGTCTCCATCTCACAAGAGTTGTATCAGCAATTTTATGATGTAGTTTTAAACAATAATACATGCAAAACTAATAAGTATAACATGTATTTGAGTATATTTATGATAAGAGATAATTATAGAAAGTTTCGAAATGTAGCGAATGCCTTAGTGGAAGATAAAATAGCATCAACATATAAGTGGATTTTACAATGTTTATTGAAGGCGAATGATGATCTTGCACCGAAATCATTTTGGACAGATTCTGAGCCAGGTTTAATAAATGCTGCTTCTCAAGTTTTTCCAACAACAAAACATTTTTATTGTCTTTTTCATATCTGGCAGAACATTATTAAGCATCTTAAAATGAAGTTAGATTCAAAGTTTTATTTATTTAGTAAGGCATTTTACGCATGTAGAAATGCATTGAGTATAGAGTTATTTAATCAGCGTTGGGAATTGATGTTGAAGTTATTTCCAGAATGTCAAATTTATATGACTAAAGTGTTGTATAACAATCGAATGAGTTGGGCTAGATCTTTAACACCATTTCAGTTTAATGCCAAAGTACAAAGTACTCAAAGTGTTGAATCATTTAATGCTATTATAAAAAAAGCTTTAAATAGTGCGAGTACACTTTGTGATATTAAACAAACAATTAATAAAAGACACGACGATGAATCTCAGTACTGTAAACTAACTGATCTTAAAGACCAACATATAACTATTGGTCTTCCACATATTTCATCACAATTTTTTTACTTATGAGGGCTTACTAATCTTATCTTCTACTGAGGTAATGTTCGATTATTTATTAGTCTTTTTTATAAGTAATTATTAGATACTTATAGTACTATACTACACTTATTAGATTTCAGAATTGGATACAGTTAATAATAACTTTATAGAAGATATATTGGATGAACTACAAGCAACTTTACATTCTTTGCTAGATAACTTAGAAGGCTTAAATTATAATTGAAACATGAAGAATTCAACATATAGGTGGACTTTCACAAAAAAAATTTTGGTTGTATTATGTGCTGATGGAACTCACATTTGCACTTGTATAGAAACTATTACAAAAGGTATAATTTGTTAGCATTTCTGGCAGGTTATGCTTTATTCACACTTTGCAAGATTTCACATAAGCATAATACCTGCCAGATGGTATAAGAATAATATTCAAACTAATTTAGATTTTAATATCAAAAATTCACCTATACTTATTGCAATAAAACCATCTGCTGATTGTTCTTTTCAAGTTACATCTAGTTTTCAAAGCTTACATAATTTTAATAAACCTGATTACCTGTATAATGAAGTTAATCATAAGCAAATTCCTTAAAGAAATCGATATAAAATTGCTTTTTTAATAGCCAAAGCTGCTATTAATATCGCTTTGGAAGTTAATAAAGATGCTGAATTAGTTCAAATATTAAAAGATTTTATTACAACTAATTAGAAGAAATACGATGATGATACAGAAGCTAAAAATGCCACTAGTATAGAAGATAACAATTCTATACAAAATACTAGTGAAATAATTCTATTGCAAGAACATTTACTTAATCAAGTAACTAGTCCAAATGTTACTAAAATTCGCAGTGCTCCTTATAAAAAAAGAGTTAAAGGTGTTATGAAAATATCAAAAGGCAAAAAAGTAGTAAATGAAACTACAAATATTATTCAAGCTACAAATATTAACTATGAAAAAGTAATCTCAAAACAGCAACGCAAATGCTTATTATACAAAAATTCTGGTCATTACAAAAAAAATGCCTATTTGCTAGTACAATAAATAAAGAAAATGAATGTTAATCACAACAGAAATTGAGTATATGTAAATGCTAATATAATATAAAATCATATTAATATACTTCTGCAATTCATATTAATAACGCTTTAATAATTAAAAAAAAAAAGTTTAATATATTAGTAACTTGATTTTAATAAGATGTATAAGTATTTTACTTTTAATAGTTAGGGTAAGTATATTCTACGTATAAGTAACCTACTTCTAATAGTTAGAGTAAGAGTATTTCTGCATATAAGTAATCATTTCTAATAGTTAGGTAAGAGTGTTTTTATAAAAGTTATTTTTTACGTATAAGTAACTACTTCTAGTAGTTAGAGTAAGTATATTATATATATAAGTATCCCACTTATAATAGTTAGGGTAAGGATGTTTCTACATATAAGTAACTACTTCTAGTAGTTAGGGTAAGAGTGTTTTTATAAAAGTTTTATTCCTACGTATAAGTAACCACTTCTAGTAGTTAGAGTAAGGGTATTTCCACGTATAAGTAACCACTCCTAGTAGTTAGAGTAAGAGTGTTTTTATAAAAGTTTTATTTCTACATATAAGTAACTACTCCTAGTAGTTAGGGTAAGAGTGTTTTTATAAAGGTTTTATTTCTACATATAAGTAACTACTCTTAGTAGTTAGGGTAAGAGTGTTTTTATAACAGTCATATGATTTGTTACATGTAAATTTTTATATATATAAAATTATAAAAAAACATATAAAATTACTATAAACTTTGATTCTGTGATGTTTTTTCACCTACATATTAATTTAAAATTAAATTGTGCAACAATAT